ACATCTGTCTGAGCTCTGAGCCACACCCATCCACATCTGCGGCCGACTTCCCACCCAACCTCAGATGTCCCTCCTTCCTCCCCTGCAACCCCCCCATGCCCACCGCCACACGCCCCCGACAGTACACAGGAACCGTATTTGTTGTAATTTTTTTTAAATTTCTTATCCACAACACTTGTACAACTGTTTTTTAAGGTTCTTATCTTTCTTTTTAAATGTGCTTCACCCTGGCCAGATAGGTAGCTCCGTTGGTTAGAGCATCGTCCTGACACGCCAAGATTTTAGGTTCGACCCCAGGTCAGGGCACATACAAGGGTCAAGCAATGAATAAGTGGAACAACCAATCGATGTTTCCCCCTCTCTGTCTCCCTCCCACCCCTTCCTCTCTCTCTCTCTCTCTCTCTCTCTCTCTCAAATCAATAAATTAGATTTTTCATTTTAAATTCTTAAAAACAAAAACATCAAACATGCTCCAATGAGGCTTCTGCGTAATGTGTCCTTAGCCCTATGTTCTAACAAGGCCCCTGGCGTTCACTGCATGGCTCTGCACAGCTCAGGAGTCATAGGAGTGCGAGGGAATATTACAGCATTAATATTATGTAAACTGCTCAGCACAGCGCCTGGCACGTGATAAGCACTGAATCAACTGTAACTTGTTAATACTAAAAAGGAGAAAGAGCGAGCGAGAGAGTTGACTTACACATCTAATGAGCTAAGAGCTAGGGGCACTGAGCCATCCCAGGAGGAACGTGTGAGCATTTAGAATACAGGAAGAGGCTTTAGAATACAGGAAGAGACTTCAGGAATGAAGGCTGGCATGAAACACCCTAGGTGGGTATAAGTACAACCCTGCATTAACCTATAAAGTCTGGAAGGAAATAAACCAACATGTCAATAGCAATTGAAGGGACTTGGAGAGTGGTTGTTTATTTCCGTATACCCCTCAACTTTGCAAACTCATAAACCTTTTAAAATCTTAAAGACCACCTAAGACCATAACCCAAGCAATTTTCAAGAAGCAGAAATCACCTCAGCCTGCTAATCCAGCTTAGAGTGGGCCCACTCTGCCTGAGTTCAGCATGTGCGTGTGTATCTGTTTCATCCGCTGCTATGACAAGCAAGCACCAAACACTTCCTCCCCTTTCATGCCTTCAGAATAAAGACTACTTTTAAGAGCAAGAATGTTTAAATCATGTAGCTTGTGACCTTTACTTTGTATCTAGTAACGAACTAAACAATGACTTTGTTTTGAAATTAACTTGCAATTGCATGAGGATTAGGTTCGAATGAGCTTGACTTTGCTCAAAAATCAATGCTGCCCTCTTCTTTGTTCTCCTGAGGCCGCCCGATGGCTTATCGGGGAGAAGAGGAGGAAAGGGGATGCGGACCGCCAATGCCTGGGCTGTGAGCCATCAGGTCTGTTGTCAGAGTCCTCTCCTGACGGTGTCCAACAAATTAGCAAAGACCTCAAGAAAGCCGTCAGGACCTGCTGGTTCTAGACCAGGGAGAGAAATGGTGCCGGCCACCACTTGTCCAGCTCCCGGCCAAGTGGTTCCCCGGGCACCATGGCAAAATGCAAGTTCTGGTCTCCACCATAACACCTAGACCAGTGGTCGGCAAACTGCGGCCCCCTGAGTGTGGCTCTTCCACAAAATACCATGTGTGGGCGCGCACGTACAGTGCGATTGAAACTTCGTGGCCACACTCAAGGGGCCAAAGAGCCGCGTGTGGCTTGCGAGCCGCAGTTTGCCGACCACTGGCCCAGACTGAACCTCTCCCCATCGCTGCCCTGGTGGCCACGCCAGGAAAGAATGAAGTGGGAAGGAGTTGTGGCCCCAGGTTCGCCTTTAGTAAAGCAACACCTGCTTCCACTTCAGCGCTCAGGGGCTCAGTCAGCAGCACTTTTCCAGGGTTGGGGGCCTGAGTGACAGGGACCTCTGACCCAGGATGGGTCTCCTTAGCGAGCAACTCAGGGAAGTGTTCAACTGAAGCCCAGAGCCACGGGCTCTAGTCCCTTCCTCTCCCTGGACCCTACTATCCCCACACACAACACAGGGCTGGGTTAGAGCACAGGGTCACACACTCATGCCCGGCAGGTAATACGATAAATCGTCCGGGTGTGTCAGCCATCGCACAGCCTGTGGTCTAGCGTTCCCTTGCCTTAATGATGAGCAAATCATGGGTTTAGAGGAGGATGGGTGGGGGGGGGGGGGGCTGCAGCCAGTGCACAGCTTGGAGAACTAGACTCACTGTAAAAGGGGTCCACGGGCTCTGAAGAGCCAGAGGGAGATAAAATAGCTCCCGAGTCAGAGGAGCCCCTTGGTATGAAACTTCCAGGGTAGCAGGGAGTTTTTTCAGGGCCGAAGCAGGAGGAAATGACAACTGAAACTGACAAGGGGAAATCTTAGCAGCATAAAAGCAAAGTTCTGCATTTAGGTTTGAAAGAAAACGAACCAGGCTATGAGGCCAGGATGCACTGGGGGAGAGGGACAAGACTGCAATGGACAGCCAGCCCTCCCGGAAAACAAACATCCCCGAGAGCCAACAGCAAGCGCTAAGAAGGCCCACAGAGCTTCGGGAGAAACGTGAAGGGTGTGAAGAGCTGACCCAGGGTCTAGCTGCTCTCCTGGTGGTCAGAGTGCATTTGGAAGTGCAGGCTCTGGCCTGGGAAGACAGGAAAATGGCAGGGGCCCCGGGGGGAGCCACAGGCTCAGGACAGTTTCCTGGTGCCACGAGGACGAAGATGCAGCTGAGAAGGGTAAAGAAAAGATGTGCCTGCCAGGAGAGAAGGTGCCCACAGCCCGCAAATACAATACGGGCAGCGAAGGGCAGCGAAGCAAGGCAGCCAGAGAGGCTGCCACGAGTGTGAGTGACGGCTCAGAGGCCCGCCCCTGCAACCACAGAACCTTTGCTCCAGCGAGGGTTCCACCCTGTAACAGGAAGTGCCGGCTCACGGGGGAGGTGGGAAGGTAACCAAACAGGCACCCAGATGGGCCTAGTTGCCTCAAAATTGCCTCCAGAGCAGTGCTTGTCAAACTTTGATGTGCTTAGCTACCACCTGGGATTTTTTTTTTTAATTGATTTTAGAGAGAGAAGACGGGAGAGAGAAACATCGATTTGTTGTCCACTTACTTACGCATTCATTGGTTGATTCTTGCATATGCCTACCAGAGATTGAGCCGGAAACCTTGGCATATCCGGACGACACTCTAACCAACTGAGGTACCCGGCCAGGGCTCACCTGGGGTTCTTCCTAAAAGACGCTAAGTTAGTGGGTGTAGGTGAGATTCTGCAGCTCTGGTGGGCTCCCAGGTGATGCTCACGGGGCCGCCCAGGCACCGCACTTTGGTAACCAGGCCACTTTGAAGGCAAAGAGAGCAGGTTCTGGGTGAGAAGGGGGGGCGGTAAGAGAAGCCCCTTCTGAGGCCCCGCCTCCTAAAGGCCAGTCCTGGGCTCGGAGTGGTCTACAAGCTGGAGGGGAGGGGGCTGGCGGCTGACGAAGGAGGCGCGTCCTCGCGTCCTGGAGGATTCTCTCCGGTTTCCTGGGGAAAGGGAGGCCCCCCAGGGAAAGGGTGGCGTCAAGCCCGAAGTGTTTGGGTCCCAATACAACTCGGCCACTCGGAACTGGTTCACAGGAGCAGGAACCGGACCATGCCCTGCTGCAAACATGCCTAGAATTAATCAGCTCTCCCCAGCCGCCCTGCACAAACGCTCCGCGCTGTCTTCCTCCAGGGGAAAGGTGACTGAGGCTGGGAGACTCCCCGGCGGTGACTCACCCACAGAATCAAATATGACCCCGCAGGGCAGCCCCAGCTCGCTTCTCCAAACCCAACCTCTCCCTCTAGACCGCCCCCAGCCCCGTCCCGCGCGCCGTTTCCTCTCTCTCAGGTGTGTCCCCAATGCCACGGTCCCAACCCTTCCAGACGCAGCCGAGGCTCTACCCCTCGCCGGGGCAGTCATTCCCACAGCGTGTGTGGGCGCTCCTTCCAGTCTCCTCGAATCACAGTATTGCGTGCCCGCCTCGGGGGGGCCCCTCGGATGCTAAGGTCCCATAAGCGCCCTTTGTCTCCCCCTTTCGGCGCCGAGCGCGGTGCCAGACGCACAGGAAGTGCTGACACTGAACCGGGAGGGAGCAGGATCCGTGTCCAGAGGGGGCGCCCAGCGCGCGGGGACTCCGCGGGGCTCAGCGAGGGTCCCTCCAAAGAACAAGGGTCCCCGCGACAGGAGCCCCGAACCCCGAGTTTAAGTCCGGGCAGCCCCTCTGCGCCTCCCGAGCCGTGACGCCCAGACGCCG